TTCATAAGGCCTTTCCACATTTCACAAAACAGAAAAAACACTTCACTCTTGCATCACAATAAATATGAAATCACAAGTCACAATGCAAGAGAAAACCATTCATATTGTATGGGTATAAAGAGGTCTGACCATGGCTCACAAAATCACCCTATACTACCCTCAAACGTATGCAGTTTAGTATTTCTATCACAGTTTGGTATAGATGGTTTACAGTTTTTGATGTAATGCCTTAATGGTCATAATCAATCAAGAACAGGAGAACTTTGCCAGAATTAAACTTCAAGAAACATGAGAAATGATTTCTGTATGTTTCTTGAAGAACCCAATGAAGAATGTAACAAAAAACATGATCCACAGTCCAGCAGCATAGATGCTTAAGTTTTCAAATGATTTTACCATTTCCATAAACCAAGTCATAACAGTAGATATTTCTTTCATGATCACTCCAACGACAAAAAAAAAAAACAACAATGCAGTTATCAAGCATGTAAAATTCAGTCACATAGGAAACCAAAAATCTTTATCACATTCATGAAGTGATAAGCAGTGAGCTTCTCACTCACTTATAGACATGTGCCTGTTTGTTCAAAGCAACTCCCTGTAATCAACTGCACTCTTACGACTACCTATTTTTTTATTTTGTTGAAACCGATGCTCATCTTGACCACCTAATAAACAAATTACCTTCATCTTCCAAAGTTAAAATTAATTCTCTTGCCTTTTTGTTGTTTAAACTTCTAAGTGTACCCTTTCAATTAAGCAATTTTATTATTGTTTATTAATCACATGCATCCCTACCATTGTCTACTTTTTTATTTTTTTTTTATTTTATTGTAACTGATGCTTAAACATCATCTTTGAAAGTTAAATACTCTTGCCTTTTTGTTGTTGCTGTCTAAACTTCCAAGTGTACCCTTTTCATTAAAGCAACGTTTAGTAATCACATGCACTGTTACGATTGTCTATTTTTGATTTAGTTGCAGCCGATACTCATCTTGTCCACCTTGAACAACCTTCATCTTTCACAACCACTGCCTTTTTGTTGTTGCTGTCCAAACTTCCGAGTGCACCTTTCCATTAAAGCAACTGTTATTAATCACATGCACTCTTATGATTGCCTATTTTTTTATTCTGTACGTTCTAACCTATGCTCATCTCATCCACCTCAAACATTACCTTTATCTCTCATAGTAAATTAATGTTTACTCTTGCCTTTTTGTTGTTGTTCTCCAAACTTCCCCCTACACCCTCTCAATTGATTAAAAGCACGATATAGCAACTGTTATCACATGAACTCTTACAACTACTTACTTCTGACTTTCTTGTAACTGATGCTCATCAATTCTTGTCTACCTTACACAACATTCATTCTTTCAAAGTTTACTCTTGCCTTTTTGTTATTGATGTTCAAACTTTCACATGCACCCTTTCAAGTATATGTTTTCCCTTAAAGCAACTGTAATCACATGAAATCTTACAACTGCCTATTTTTTGACCTTTTTGTAACCAAAGGTCATCTGATCCACCTTAAGCAACCTTAATTAACTCTTGTTGTTGTTCTTCAACCTTCCATGAGCAGCCTTTCCATTGAAGCAACTGTAATCACATGCATTCTTATGACTGCCTGTTTATGACTTTGTTGTAACCAAAGCTCATTGTGTGTATTAAACAACCTTCATCTTTCATAGTTTACTCTTGCCTTTTTGTTTTTGTTTTCCAAACATTGGAAAAAGTGAAGAACAGCCCCCCAAAAAACCTGTTGGGCAACTGTCGGCTGACTGTCAGCCAACTGTTGGCCAACAGTCCGCCAACTGTCTACCCACTGTCATTCAGCAGACTGTCGATCGACACTTGGTAGAATGTCGGTAATGTGTCGGCCAAGTGTCGGTTAAGAACTATTGTGTACGTGCACTACTTAATTTATTTGCCTAAATAGAACTTTTTATGAACATTGCATTGCGAGGAACAGAAAATGGTTTGCCTTGACTTTATCATTGCCGAAAACAGTGTTTTCATTACCAATTAGTGCCAATTATCGATGCAAATTGAAATTGTCCCATTTGCGTCTGCCGTATTGTTTAGGTTTTTTAGGTACCAATCCCCTCGCATCATCCTACACCAACATCCCTCAGGAAGAGGAAATTAAAATCATTTGTCACCATTATGATCAGCATTATCAATCAAAATTTACCTATCCCTACTCAATTTTTGGGAGAATTAATATGACTGATTCTAACAGAATACACGGTAAGGGTCGAGTGATAATATCATTACACTTCTTTTTCTTTTCAGTGTCGGTTTACTGTCGGTCAACTGTCAGTAAGCTGTTGGTATAATGTAGCTTGACAGTCGGTCAACAGACTTTTAGGGGAGCTGTTCTTCACTTTAATATGCACCCTTTCCATTAAAGCAACTGAATTACATGCACTCTTACACCTGCCTATTTTTGATTTTCTTGTAACTGTTGATTCTATTTCATCTACCTTTTTGTCAAAAGTAGCCGGCTGCTGGCGAAAATCGCTGCCTACTTGGTTAGTATCAGCCGGCTACTCTGCTTAGCATTTCTTTATGGATGGCATTTTTAAATAAAATATCACTGGATTCGTAAAGAAACATCTTCTGAAAACTATAGCATGTGTTTATGTGTCACTTACAGTTAAACTCAATGCCTACCCTCGGTAATTCATCTTATAATTCACCTTAGATTTCCGTAATTATGGAACGAAAATAGCCTGGAGAATGCAGAAAACAGCACTTCAGAGTGCCTAAATACCCCAACAGGCTTGCGCCTTTGGCGCTCGCCAGTTCATCCAGAGCTGGTTGCTTACTTTGGCAACTAAGCCGTCTACTTCAAAACTTTGTTACAACCCTGTTTCATAGTGGATTCCTTTCTTTTTTTGTTCTATCTCAAACGTTCACATGCACCCTTTCAAGTACCTGTTTTCCAGTAAAGAAACTGTAATCACATGCACTCTTACGATTGCCTATTTTTTTTACTTTTTTGCAGCCAATGCTCATCTCATCCACCTTAATTAAACAACCCTTATCTCTCATACTTTACTCTTGCCTTTTTGTTGTTATTCTTCAAACTTCCAGGTGTACCCTTTCCGTTAAAGCAAATGTAATCACATGCACTCTAATGAGTGCCTATTTTTCATTTTCTTGTAACTGACGCTCACATCTCATCTACCTTAACTTGAACAACCTTCACCTTTCATAGTTTTGACTCTTGCCTTGTTGTTATTGTTTTTCTTTTACCAAACAAATGAAATAAACCTTCATTTTATGGACACCCTTGGATCCCTTAGCAGATGTGTCCCTTCAATAGAGGTAACCAATACACAGCCTTAGAAAACACCCAACATTTCCCAATGCCACCACTGAATTCCCCACAAATTGACATCTGAGAAATGAAAGCAGAAATTCCATACTGATGACACATCACTACCCAGTGCTCTTGATTGGTTGTGCTGCCGGGAAAATATGCTTTAACCACTCAAAAGCACTAACCAGATGTGGGTAGCATAATGCATCATCAGTGTGGAATTTCTGGGGTCATTTCTCAGACATCATTTAATGAGGAAACCAGTTACAAAGATTATAAAAGTTATGAAAATTTAACCGGAATTTAATTATGACCTGTGACATATACATGTTTTGTTGCTCCTTTATAGGGAAAATAGCACCAAAAATTTAACACTACTTGAAAACTAATGGAAGTAAGAGTGGCCTGCTCGGGCTTAAAAACAGCTATTAATACGAGTGCACAGTATAAAATAATTTGAACGTTTTTGTCAAACCATTATGTTTCCAAGGTTGATAGTGTGGTTTGGTAAAAAAACACTCAACAACCTTTCATAGACTGCTCACACATTTTGGATTACACTCATACAAACATTTCTCTTATTGTTGTTAAGGCTCGCTCAAGTTTTTTAAAGCACTTTTTGAAAGACTAATGTTAGGTAAACCCATACTGAATAAGTCAGTGACTGCATGCTTCTAGTAAAATCTCAAGTTTCACTTTAAAAAACAAAAATCATCATCTTCATAATCGTAACAATGGCAATATTTTAGAGTTCAAAATTCTTGTATCAGTAGCCAAGTAATGTGTTCATCAGTTAAAACTACTACTTCATAGTTTCTTTCTTAAGACTTCCTCTGTAAATAAGGGCCTCTGCCCTTGAATAAGCTAGCTCCACTATAGTGAAAAACTTAGAAACAGACGTAAAAAGAGGCCTCAGCTACTAGATCCGTGTATACAAAAGATTATCATTTATCTATTTCATGGAACAATAATTATCAGCACAAACTGCTCTGAAGTTACCAGTTTCTCTAATACTTTCCCTTACATCTACTTCACTTGTGATCTGCGTCTAGTGTATTTCATGCTCTATTTCTCTATTATTTTGTCCATGCTTTATAGCGAGAGTACAATAGTCATTCTTAGAATTTGCCATTTTTAAGATTGGTCTTTCAAACACTGCAAGATGTTACCCTAGCTAAAAGAATAAGCCTAGATTACAAACACTGCTAGTTACTAATAATAATTATCTGTGAGATTGTGGTTGATAAACGACAACCAAAGCTAAATGTCAATTTTTTTGTGAACATTTTCAACGAACTGGACCTATGAAACCCAAGTACTATTGCTTTTTAAAGTTAATTTCCCAATGGGTAAAGCAATTAAAAGAGCTCTAGCTGTTTTGGAAAATAAGTATTGAATGCAAAGTCACACTAAGAGAATCAGAAACCAGTGGGAATGTAACCAAAAGCAATTCACAGTTGTAGCTTTTTCAGTGTTTTGACCAGGCAAAGCAAGTATAACAGAGAAAACATAGAACTAATTAACTTACAGGTAAGTTGGAAGACTAATAAACATTTTGCATAAAAGACAGTCTTCCACCCAACTTTGACTGTAGTTGTAAATTCAGTGAGAAAAAACTACATCAACATGTTGCATGATTGATGATGATCAAGAAAAGAAAAAATGCAAATTTTATAGCTAAATTACCTGTACATTCTTGCAGGTGTTTGCCATACTCCAATATTATTTTTCCATACCATTCCAGGATATTCATCTAAATGGAGACAAAAACTAGGTTCAGATATGATACAATTAACTTTAAACCCTAAGATAAAAATTTGAATTCTCATTTGTTGCCTCTATTCATTTCCTACAGAAGTAGTGGGGAGAAGTTGATAAAATATCAAGCAAATTCATCTTGTGTGATCATGTCCATAATTCTCATGACCACTCTGTTTTTACAAAGCATTGATACTACAAGGAGAAATTTGATGCTGATCACCCCCGGGAACAGCACAAGGGTCTAAACGTCCATCTTAGAGAGGTGTCCGGCAAATAATTTTTACCTAACTGACAGAATTGATCAATAAAACCGACTGAAAAAAAGCAGGGACAAACTCTCCTTGTCCATTTTAGTCAACTGTCTGGTTTTTCTGCCTTTTAACGGATGAGATATTTAATACTTTCCCCAGAGATCCTTGAACAAAACATAATCATGACAGCATAGATCTGACAAGAGGTTGGCATGGTGATTTCTTATTAGTTTTTGGTATGAAGAACTGTTCATACCACTGTCGTAGGTACTAATTTTAAACTCTTTGACTAATTATTATTATAGGTATCTCTGCACCCCTGTTGGTTCACCTTAACCTTAAAGTAGCAACTCAGGATTTGCAGAAAAAAGTAACTAACTGTCAATAATGACCCTATAATAGCAACATAAACATGTCCACACTTCCCAGACACTTTTCCTCTGTTGGCTTTATCAGTCAAGGCCCAAGCACAGGGACAACAAGAAATGGTAAAGACATTCTAAAGAGACAGACAGGAATGGCCTGTTGAGAACAGTGTTGTTTGGAAGAGGTTTATCTAGTAGGACTACAGTATCAGGAAGCAAGGCTCAGCTTTGCGCAAGGTCTCACAGGGCCGCTATACAAGTAAACACTTGTTTTCACCAAACCGGGTAGTAAATTGTAACCTAATTTATATCTATTTTCAAATGACCTCACTCCGAAATTCATTCCCCTAAAGGTTAGTTAGTACCTAATAAGTTTTGTTTTGATATTTGCAAGTGATTCCTGGAATAAAAATAATTGTCGGTGCTTACCTTGTCAAAAGTGACATGGAATGTTGAATCATTGCTTGTGGCAAAGCACTCCGCAATCTACAGATACAATAATGTGATTAATACTTATACAGGATAATCTCGTTTTTCCCATGTGCTTCCCCTTAAAAAAAGTCACAAACCTTTAATACGAACACACCACAGCACACTTAGTCACTCTTCATTAGTCTTCAATCATGCCAGGTTTCCACAGCCTTTCTTTTAGTTGTTCCCTACTGCACAGCATGTTTCTAAGGAAATACAAGAGTATAGTACTAGTATGAGTGTCAATTCAATTGGCACTGGGTTAACAGCGTTATTCTACTCCCAACTTCATCCTTCTTTTCCATACATAATTGTCAGTGTGCATGTGCTAAGTATATGTTGCCAAAAGTTTATCGTTGCACGTCAGGCTTTACAAAAAAGAGGCAAGAAGCAGTTGGGATTGTGGTAGTGGTACCTAGATTGCAATACTGAATCAATTTTGAGTCACTAACCTCATGACTTCAAAAAGTTCTTTGTCCAGTTTACCCCACTAAATGCTGGACCCACAACAACGACGGTGTTTGCTTCTATGTCAAACACCTGGGACAAAATAGCAAAGGAAAGATGAAAATTTAAATCACAGGACTAATAATTATTATAGCTTCAGTTTATCAGCCAATAAAGTCTATTTACTTCATCATGGTAAAGCACTTTACTATTTGCCACTGGGCACAGAATGTACTACAATAGCTCATACTGCTCCTCAACCTACAGAATGGTATTGGAAAGCGAGAGGGCCAAGAAAGAAAATCTTAATAAATTCCAAATTGAACTTGTGAATTTGTTCATTAGAGAACTTCTAAACTTAATACTACTTACCCCTACAATAATTGTAACATTCAGTGATCTTGCCTTTCAAACATTCCTGGGAAGAGTAGTTTTTTGTACTAAGGTAAATCCACCTAATTTGAATCAACAGGGTGTGAATTATTTTTCTGTTACAAGACGTATGCAAAATGAGTAGCTATGTACTAACTGAATTTGTCAAAATTGCTTCAGCTCAGCAAGTAAAAAGAAGTGGAAAGTCATCACAACACCTTTTACATCTAACAAAATCAATGATCAAAAACTCTTTCCATTTAAGTGAATTATACATGCATGCAGTTATTTTATTTTGGCCAGGAGGTTTTGATGTTAATTTTTCTTCTAAGAACTTGAAACAAAAAATAGGAGTTAAATAAATCATAAATCAAACAGGGTTCCGTGAACCTCTAATCACCTTTGAACACCACTTTGCTTTTTTAGCGCTTTCATAAAAACTAGTGGCCCCTGCAATAACAGTCAAACAAAACATAATATATTATTTCATAGGGGGGAAAAAAAATGAAAATTTTGTTCGATTTCCATTACTTTCATGTACGGTCTCCCATCCTATAGCATGAGAATCTTTCGCTGTTGGTTACAATAAGTTTAAAGTTTGACTTGGTAAGTTACCAGTAGAAGATAAAAACATAGAAGCAAAATAAAAAGAAGAAAGTGTAAAATAAGCAAGAAAATGATTCAGATGGTACGATTTTTGCTTACATCACGTCAGATTGTGTTGTGTAAATTAGTCCCATGACGTCCATACAACATGTGTGAATGTTGGGAGTGAAAATTGTGTGTCTTTGGATGGCAGAAAAGTCATGATGTAAGCTAGTTGCACACAACAGTCGTAAGCAAAAATTGCACCTTTTAAATCAGCCTTAAGAAGGATACCAATGGGAACAGCATAATAACATGTCTGATTTTAAGATAGGTGTTCTAGAGAAGTGATCAAAGTAAATGATCGAAAAGAAGCAAGGTCGAAATCTTTGTGTTTGTTTAAGACAGTCGTGTTATTTGGAAGTGTCTGTTATGAAAAAGTACTCGGCACTACAGTGTAGTTGACAGTATTGTATTCTAAGGTCACATATAGAAACATGAACATCATCTCAATTGGTTGATAAGTGTAATTACAGTGAAACCTCTATTAAGCGGACCCCCAATTTAGCAGACAACATCTATTAAGCGGACACTAAGCCAGGTCCCAAAACGAACGTCTGATATTTCCCTTCATAACGAACCCCTATTCAGCGGACACCCCTATTAAGCGGATGCAGACACTAAAATAAAATGTATTTGGCTAATTTCTATTGTTGAAATCCTCTATCATTAAGCAGACACCAGACTGAATTGACAATGGTAGTATTGGATTACGTCCTTGCAATACGTACTGTAGTCAGTTAATGTTATTGCATTTACAAAAGAATTAAAGTTGGTAGTGAAAGGTAATGAACTTGAACTCTGGATAGCTTCTTTAACAACTAAGTACAGAGTAACCATTAAAAGTTGATTGTTAACAAACATTGTGCAATTTTTACAACCTCTAATAAGCAGACACCCTCTATTAAGAGGACACTTGGGAACGTCCCGAAGGTGTCCGCTTAATAGAGGTTTGACAGTAGTTCTAATTTAGGTAAAGGAATTGTTGGTAAGAGTGTTATGGTATGAGTGTTGTAGGCATATTTGAATTCTTTTGCTCCAATTAATGACAGGCTCACTCTTATCTTCACTTAAAGGCTAGCCTTAAAAGCAATTCAAGGGGTTGAGTCTGTAACTGTGTATTACTTGACGGCTGTATATTGCGAGTAGTACTTCGGGGATAAAGGCTAGCTACGTACAGTATAGGTAAATCCAACAGGTAGGGCATGGAATCAAACAGCTAGGGGTTCACTTTGGTTCTATTTTTCTTCTTCTTGCCTTTGAAAGTAGCTGGAAGTAGCCAGGGAAATCTCCGGCCTCCACCTCTTAATGACAGCCCTGACTATGTGTAGCTCTATATGAAAGGAATTTGTGTTTGAGCCCTTCAAGCCTGAAAATCGGTATATAGTTTTTAAAACTGCTTGTGTCTGAGCAAGGCTTAGGTTTTTTCATTTTGGAGCCAGCATCTGAAACTGAGTTTTGTTTCTACATCATCGGTCACTAGAAAGCAGTGTTTCAGTGTTTTAGTGTAAGAAAAGTACAGATAATATTATTTTGGTACAGAGGTAAAGCTTTCAGAAAACATACTGCACATCACTAAAAAAAATGTCCAACTTCGAAGGCACGTAAAGTTTTATAGACCATAATAAATGGGATATTTCTCATACTAACCATATAATTATACCAGACTTGGTTGTAGCTTGAGGCCTGTAGTCATTCCTCATTACTGTAAAGAAAACAAAATTTAAAAGATCAAACAAATTTGCCTCTTTAACTTTTTGCTGATAGCACAAAAGTTATGGCACCCCATAGCCTGCGAATGGTTACTGGTCAAAGTCAAAAGTCATTTCAATAATACAAGTCACATCAGTTTTGAAAACTTCCAAAAAATTTTGGTTCTAACCATGTTCTTTAACATAAAAAACTGTAAGTTCGTATTAGGTAAACTTTGAGGCTTGGAGGCTTTTTAAGAGCTGTTGGTTCATTATCCTTGATGCACGACATCAAACTTATTATGTCTGAGAATCGCCAGGTGTGTAACTGAGAGCTTCATTCTATGGTACCATGAAAAAGACTATCTTCTTTCTCTATGATGTCTGTCCTGCAGCAGAAACTAGCCTGGTGTACAAGAACATTAACTTGGCTTCATGGTGGGGGAGCTTCACGAGTACATACAAGAACTTGTTTACTGGGGGGATTTCCCTTGAAAATTCTTAACACAATTAAAAACTAGGGATTACTTTCAGATGACAAAGATAAATAAACTAATAGTATGTACTCACCCGCTGATCACCAGTTTGCAATTCATATGCCATAACAGCATTCTTATTTTGACATTCTGTACGGTCATTTTCAAACCTGTTATTTTGAAAAACAGAAGGAAACTAAGATACCTAGCTTTTCAACAAACTTGGTGTATTTGTTTCTGGGCTAGCTTGTTTAAAGCCCCCAGTTTTTCTGTAAGATCATCGAGGGCGAATGCTAACTGCACGAGCGACTAAATACAGGAATGGCTCCGACCTGTAATTGGAGGATAAAAATAGTTAGTAATTAATAAGTTAAAGCTTAACTTTCAGCCAAGCGTCACACTGGACAACGATATCACTAACGTCGTTGTGATGTGTGACTTCTGTTTCGTCTTACGCAGTGAAAGAAGCAAGAAGTCGATGTATGAACCTTAAAATTTCACTTACATCGGCAGGGCAGAACCTTTTTCTAGTGTTAAACAGTACCAACAGAGATGGGGAATTGTCACAGCGTTGGCGAACAGCGTTCAGTTCGGACTCAAACACTCGGAGCTATTCCTGTATTTAAACCGCTGACGGGTCAATGTACAGGAATGGCTCCGATCTGCATAAAGAGAGACTTGTCACATGATGGTGTGTGGTGTGGGAGGGGGGAGTGGGGGTGGGGTCTGGGCGATCATAAAGAAAAAAATTCAAAATCAACTCAAATAAAAAAGTCGAGAAAGGAACTAGACTTGCTTGACCATTACTGATTACTGCCCGGGGGCACTTGGGTTTTGGGTGGGTATGTGCCGCCCGGGACTCCAAATTGGCACCCTTCTAAAAAAATTCCCCTAAAATTGATACCCCGTTCTAGAAATAGGCCAATTTTTATACCCCGTTCTAGAATTCGCCCTATAACTGAAACTCCGTTCTAGAAATGGGCCAATTTTTATACTCCTTTCTAGAAAGTTTGTAAATTGAAATAGTCCTTGTTTTTTTTTTTTTTTTTAAATATATTTCTTTATTTGTTTGACTTATACATCAAATAAATGCTTCTTCATAATCAGCAACAATTTTAAGCAGAAGATAACGCCGTGATCCACAATTTTTTATACCCCGTTCTAGAAAACGCCTCTGAAATGGATGCCCCGTTCTAAATCAGGAGCTTCAAAATCACGACCCCGTTGGGCGGCACATACCCGTGTAGGTAATGTATGGGAGTACCCCCCGGGTCTGACTGTCGCTGGTGATTAGCAATACGGCTTTTCTTGACTGAGTTAGGTTTGCTTTGAGGAGGGACCATCAGAAAAGTGCCCTGTGAGGTACTTCCTTCAGTATAGGAATGTGCCACCCCAAAGAAACGGGTTATTGAGCCGTTTTGGTCTGAAAACGGGTATAGACTTTACCCACCGGTAAAGGCAGAAGAAATGCATACAAGACTAAAAAAAGCATGTTCAAGTGCCGAACCCCCTAGAAAATGCTTTCATTCTCATCACCCCCCATCCCTATCCCATGCACTGAGGCGGGCACCTCACTACTTAGGTTGACTTTATCAATCAATCGATAATGTCCACTAAGCTACGTGTGAGAAGTTTTAAATTTAAGCCTTATATATCATGGACGCAAGCAAGTTATTTTTAGTTTCGATAAATTGATTCGTTCAAGTTTTGTCGGATGAAAAATAACCCGGTACAAAAACTTTAAAACAGATTATTTAAAAACAACCCCGTATTGCTAATCACCAGCGACAGTCAGATAAGTAATCAGTAATGGTCAAGCAAGTCTAGTTCCTTTATCGACTTTTTTATTTGAGTTGATTTTGAATTTTTTTTTTTCGGTGAAGCTCTTTGGTTTTTTTCTTTATATCAT